ATGTATTGCTACCATCTCTTGTTATAGTATACAAAAGTTTTGAAATGAGGCAACTGCTCAAGATCCAATCACCAAATTGACCCACAATAAAATCGTAAACAAAATATTATAGTTCCGTAAATTTTTCCTTTAAAAAATCTTTTTTGCTATATAATGAATAAAACCATTATGTCACAATTAAAATTAAGAAAATTAATCACTAAGAGTGGTCTATCAAGGTTGCTAACACACAATTTAAATAAGTTAATTAGCATTTTGATTTATTAGCTTGTTTTAAGTGTCACTCAATGCTTTTTATATTATAATATATAAATAACGGATAGATAAACAACGTCTAACAAACCACTACAACTACAAGTGTGCATCAATGCCACTTCAGCTTCTTCCATTACTAATATTACGCACTGCACGCTGAGTGGCTTCATAAAATGCAACACTGCAGCACATGCCCATATATGAGTATATAGCTACATATTAGCCACTCAGCATATTTAGGTGTTATTTAAAGTAAGCCACAAACAAATCAATTGCATTTACCTTTGTTTATTATGTTTTTAAGGTGCCTACATATAAACGCATTATCTGTTATACCATATTTATGTTTCTTGCATTGTAGCCACTATGAAAATCAAAAAAATATACCTTTACTCGCTTAGTGAAAGTTGGAGCTGCACTTACGTCGTACGCACGTGCGCAGTACTAATTATGTATGCCTTTTGAGCGCCTACAAAAAACGATTTCAAATTATTTTTTAATTTGCCTCCGTCTTAAGCGTTTCGCCGTTGAGTATTTAGTTGTTGGTATGTTGTTATTAACTCTGTTATTGCTAGCTCATATTGGCTTTTAATTTTAACGATTTTGTTCGACATACACAGCCGTACGGCTGTCAGTGATTAGTTTTTGTTTATAGCGATTTTATAGTTATTGTTTCTACATTATTTGCATTGCTTACATAAATACAGCAATTAACGCTGTAAGGAGTCGTAGATATATAATGTGGTGGGAAACTTAGGAAAATGTAGTGGAAACAATAACCAATATATACCACTAAATCGGTTGAACTTATATAATATAATGTTTGGTTTTCTATTTTGCTCATATTATACTATAATGTTATTTTCAGGTTTTATTTTTTTTTGTCAGTTTTGACTTTTGCCCTGTTATGTAAATTAGCGCTGTGTAACGAAAGACTTCCGTTATTAAAATACAGAGTGATGTCTCTTTAGTATATGTATATGTTTCATTAATCTCGCGAGAATGCATAATTTAAATGAATATTTTACTTAAGGAAAATACATTTCAAGTCACACGATGGTTTTATATATTATATATTTTTAAGCGGAAGTATATGTGTTTGGTTAGCCAAAACACCTGAAAACATATCATTATACCCTAAACCGGATATGTTAATTTTGCCACAATATTTGTACCACCCAGAAGGAAACATCGTAGACCCTATAAAGTATATATAAATGGTTTATTGTTATTCAAAATATTCTCCATTAAGATCTATACGCATTTGCATGCATTTCAACCAATTGTCGAAGCACTTTTGCCACTTTTGAGGTGTCATAAAAACATGTGTTCTGCACGCATCAACCGCCTCTTCGGATGTCAAAAAACGTTGATCTCTTAGTTTATTTTTTTACGTACGGAAATAAAAAGAAATTCGATGTTAAAGATCTTTTATACCCTTTTATGCTATAAAACATGCAGCTATGAAGGGTATTATAGCTTCGGTGCAGCCGAAGTTAACAGTTTTTCTTGCTTTATATCGAAAATTAAAAAATAAATATATATATCGAAAAATATTATATATGTATATTAAAAGCAATATGTGACGGTCTAAAAATCGACGACAATTTTATGTAAAAAAATATATTTTATAACATTTTAACGCCATTTCTACATACCCAACATTTACAGTTATTTTTATTTGCTCCACCGAAAGTAAAAATACCAATATTGATCCTTCACATAGTTTTGTTTGTTAAACTTTAAAGTTAGTTACCACGAATTGGTTTTCCCCAACGCAAAGTGTCATTGACAGCAATAACATTTGCGTCGTTTTTTTTTTCCAAATATCGGTCAAATCCTACGAGTAGTTAAACAATAGCCAATTTGCTTTTTGTCGTCAGCTAATATTTATTTTGCGCGTTCATTCGCTATTTAAAACCAGTAAAGAGACAAAGGCGCATACGCATGTATGTATGTATGTATGTATATATTTATGGCTGAGGACGACAAAGTGGGCTAGGTCAACACATAGTATTAAACATATATGAAACAAAAGCGCACAAACATGAAAAATCACTTTATTTGAGTGATGAATCAATTGTGCGTATAAATGTATTGTATTATATGTGAGTATATGCGAGCATATGTCAATACACATACAAGTGTGCTTAGTTGTGTAAAATGAGAGAAAACTCTTAGCGGAGCATATACAATAGCTATATATGGCTTGGCAATATTTATGCACCCAAAAGCATGACACTATTTGAATTCGCAGATTTTACGCCAAGATTAAAGCGAAATTTCGTAAAAATCAATTTTGTTTTATTTTTTGCGTTTTTCTCTTCTTTATACCTTCAAAAATAACATACCAAAATTGTATATCAATATTTCAAATATTTTTTGATTTACATCATTTTAAAGTGTAGCCGTTTAGTTCAATCAGTTTGTCTGTAAACGAGTTTTTCAGTTTTTTTTTAACTTAAGTAGCTCTCAAAAAGAATGAAATTAAACGTGCTTTAGTTGTGACTTTTATAAATCAAAAATGTGACACAGTATAAATCAAAAATGTGATCAAATTTACGTTGAAATTATATTGTCTCCATTTTAAACTCCCATAGAACCTCCCAACTCACTATCATATCGAACGAAATCACTATTGTAACAATAACAGCGACTACTCGTGCAAATATCCACTAGTTTTACATCGTTATCGTTAATCACAACCAGAAAATACCTTAATAATTGCATACTTTGACCTGACTTCCGCATGCCACCGCGGCCACTGTGCGGTTCACATTTGACAGTGCATTTAAACTACAACCTACAGACTACTAAATATAGAATGCGGAAGTAGAAAATGTTGCACGTTGGAAAAAGTTGGTGCATTAACCCCTCGCAGGTAATAAACGCAGTAGCTTAGCTTTGTCCATATAGGTCACTAGGTCGTCCGAGTCCAATGTTTTTTTTTTCATTATACAAACTAGCATTTTTGAACTCCCTTGTCGGTGTTGTCTCCGTCCTCAGCCACAGGTATTAGCAACTATATTTATTCGTATGTAACTATTTATTTATACTGCTGTCAGCTCCATTTTTCAGTTATGTAACCAACGTTACCGTTGTTCTTGTTGTTTATCGTTTCTACTCCATTTATTCAGGTCTATGAACTCCGACTCTATGTATTGTACATTGTATACCGCTGAATTTACAAAAATTTATTGTTGTTGTTTGGCACTAATATATTCATGGGGTTTAGGCAGCGGAAGGCAGCCATTGAAGAATAAATTGCACTTTTTGCTATGAATTCGTTTCAGTTTATTATTAATTTTTTCATATCTGTGTTGAAAATGGCCGAGTTGTCATAAATGGAAGTCAACACATTGTGGATTATTTCTAATTGAAGAAGAGAGAGAAACATTCTTTAGGTTACCTACTGGCTGCAGCATTGCAAATATACCAAATAATAAATATTTTGGAAAACATTTGCTTTAAATTAGTGATTGTCAGTTTTTTTTCATTATATAAGGCTACAAAACTTGAATGTCGAAACTACTTGGAACACTTATACTCGATATCCGACCAAATCATATTTAAATGAAGTATAAGGCAAAGCTTACGGTCAGCCAGCTCATGAGTTTAGGCCATTGCTGCCAGACCAGCATGGTATCATACTCGATCTTGTCAATGAACTCGGGCTAAATTGGCAATGCGACAAAGAAACGGAGATCTATGAGGAATTAAGCACAACGTGTTCATTCCCTAGTAGAGTAGAATGGGCCGAAATAGAAGCATAGCTTCTTCTGTAGTAATCCATACTCAGAAGTTAACTTCAAACTAAATGACTACAATTCAGCTTTTCAGGTCGAAATTATGGGCATAGCAGAAGATAACAAGTAAGCTTCTACTAACCAGCAACACCATAAACCTGCTAGTGGACAACCAAGCGCCAATTAAGGTTATAATATGTAGTGTCATTACTAAGTCTACGTTAGGTTATGCAAACCGGCAATAACCAGACTCTCAGTAGGTAACTTGGTTAATATCATCTGGCTATCCAGTCATTTAGGAATAGAAGAAAATAAAAAGGCGAGTTGGCACGCTTGGAGACCCTAGAGAAACACAGCAGGTCTTGGAACATTAGCAACACAAGGCATACCACAAATTTACTTTGAAGTAGTTTTGATTTTGGACAGACCAAAAAGCTTCTACTTCTAGGAAAAAGAGACCTTAGTAATATTTCAGGACACCTACCCTTAAGATCCCACCTTAAAGTAAATTGGAGGAGCGGATTCGACGAAATGCAGGGCATGCGCGAAGGATAATGCGTCGCTGGAATATTATATATGCGCATTTTTAACTAAAAAAGACCCTACTTGAGATCTCAAATGCATGTATGTGTGTCATAGCTCAGGTTTTTCATTTGACGAGTTATCTTCAACAAATTTAGCATAGGTTATTGTCTAAGGCAATAATGCAATCTCTGAAGAAATTTTTCAGATCGGATCACAATAGCTTACAGATGCCATAGAAACCGAACGATCGAAATCAAATTCCTGGAAGGAATCATTTGTATCTGTGAAGGGTATTTAGAATTGGTGCAACGGAAGTTAACGTTTTTTTTTGTTTTGTTTTTCCTTTTTTTTAATTTTGATTAACTTTGGACATGCTCATGTCACCGTGGGTATATTTCCGGCATCAAAATTGCTCTTGGTAAAATCTATCAAAAAATAACTGTACTTATTTATATAATGAAAACACGAAAACAATTATGATCTTGTATTCAGCAATAAAACTGATATTTTATAATCTTAAAAACGTTACTATGCATCCTTTATTTTCTTTTTTTTTTTATAAAAATTACCTTATTACCAAACATTTTGTATGCCTTAATAATAAAGTATCTAATACTATATAAAAAAACGTATCGTTATAACCCTAAGATCATACTAAAAATCACAAGTTTCTTTTAAACACCATTTTGCATCAACATACTATAGTTAGCCATGACTTACATACTAACAAGTAATACATATATATTTGTATGTATCTTGTCTTAGTACAAGTGTGTTTACATAGTAAATATTAAGTATATTTGTGTAATTATTTATTTTAGTTTTCAACGCATACTTGTTAAAAGTACTGAATAATATTTACACAATTGTTTTGAAAAAGTTGAGATCCAGCTAATGATTTCTCCAGAATCAATAAATGCTCCCCCTCCTCGTGCTTGTTATAGGCACAACCAATAGGTTTTCCTCACATTTTTTCAATATGTCTAAAATATTTTGCGCGCAAAAATAGCCGCTCGCTTCTCATGCCATGGCTGTCACGTCACCTAAATTATCGACATAGCAAATAGCATCAGCAGCACCAGTATGACCCAGGGGCCGATGAACATTATGCAGACGACTTCGAACATTTTTTTTTTGGAGCTGTTTTCTTCACTGCCGCCAATACAATTAAACGCAGTTGTATCTGTCTTCTTTCATTTATTGCAAACAGCCCGTTTTTGATTACCTCTTAGTTATATCTTGTTGAGTTTTTATTCACGTCTTTTCTGTATTTTGTCTCTTTTCGTCTTACTTCCAGCACACCTGTTGCCGTTTTCTGTTTTAATACTCTTTTCTTTTCGTTATTAAATCACTGGCATCACATTGAAAGCTTTACCAACTATCCGTTTGTCAAACGCCACGTGTTACCTATTGATATAAGTTCTTCAACATTAACAATTTTCACTTAAAACCCAAAAGTCTTTTACACCAAATTTACACGTGCTTCAAACTTTTCGTCTAACTTCGTTGCTGTCTCAATTTATTTTGAATGATTTGCCATCCGACACAGCGTATTAACTGTTTTGACATAACCGCATTCGCTGTCAAACTGACAATACACAACCACTTCAACTACCTGTTTGGGTATACTTTCGTCTGGCTGCGTCTATTTTTTGCCCTCACCGAACAACTAAACACACACCGTACCGCAGCGAGCGCACTCTCTCACTTGCCACTCATTTGTCGTTCGCTGTGAACAGCTGTTACATTTGAGTATATACATAAGTAGGTTTCAAGTTTTTCTTCGTTCGATTGTAGGTGATTTTCGCTGAAGATCTTGTACACATGCATGTACTGCTGTCACGCTCTTGCTCTCTGTTGTGATTGTTTGGCTTCACCTGTGATGTAGGAGAGCCGCTGATTAAACGCAAATCAGTGAACTTCAAGAGAGATACATAGAGCGAGAGTCTCTCTGTCGCTTTAACTTTTTTACTCGTCATCTATCGAGAGTATGATCTATATTCCGTGTCGTATATTGCTCTGTTTTTATCTACTGGTAATAACTAAGTTTCGTCGGAGTTCCATATTTCAAAACACTCAACAGTAATAATATATTTCAGATAGTGTTTTGACTACTTTAGTTGCTTAACTTATTTGTCATATATGTATATTATATAGTTACATATACTTACATATGTTTATAGGTACAAAAGTTTTATTATGAGGTTAATTTACTATATTTAGCGCAATCAGTGCTCTAAGTTTTATCTTAATTGTAAAAATTGTATTTCTTATCTTTCTTTGTAGTTAATTTTTAGAAAAAAATGTGTCACCATTCCAAAGCTCAAGTAGTTAAATCAATTAATAATATAGTATATCTGCAAAATACTACCATGTCTTAAATCTGGTACTGTAGTAAAGTTTACTTAAATTTAGTGAGGTATCGCTTACTCTCTTGTATGATTTCAACTCGATAACTTTCTTGTTGATTTAACATGTAAATTTTTTAACAACCGCAGCATGCAGACAAATGGCGAATCGAACACAGCTAAAAAATACATCGCTTAGAAATTAAGTCGTACACTTTTCGTAATGTAAAGTTTCATATAAAGTAAATGCCTTGATACACAAGTATAAAGGAAATATGTTCGTTGAAAATTGGTATAAATAAAAGTAAAGCAGATTTTTGAGAGCAACTCGGCAAGCTTAGAAAAGCACTGCTGAATATTTTATGCTTTCTTTTTATTTGCAAAGCCAGACAATTTTTGGCCAAAAAATTTAAATTGCTAGATTGCTTTTTGATCATTATCTACTCTGCTAACTGTGTAATCATAATAATTTTTAATCGCTACTGTTTTCTTACCTACAATTTAGGAAGTTACATGGGTTTCAAGGCTTTTTTAATCCTATTTTTGTATTATCTTATTTAATTCTTTAGAATGTTGTTCTTAATGCTCAAGTTGATCCTAGTAATGGTGTTGGAGATACAGCCTTGAAAAGTTTCGCGCTCGATGTCAGCTATATAGTTACTTAAAACTTTAAACGCGTTTTTCTCGAAACTTAAACTATTTAAAAAATAAAAAACATCGAGAAATTTTCAAGAAAATTTGCATTTTCTTGTAAAAACGTCTGCCACAAATATAATTTCACTTTTTTCCTTTGTTCATAACCTAGTTCATGATCTCAATAAAAACACGTATTTTTATTTTTAGTTCATATGATCCTGTAAGAAGTTCTGCTGTCAACGCGGAGCACCTTTTTTCCGAGGGCCTGCCGAGTTTGGAATATTTTCCTTCGAAAATTTCAGAAAATCTTTACAAATATTTAATAATATATAATAAAATATTTTATTTTGTATGTGAAAAAGAAAATGTTTGAAAGTAGGCCGTTTTTTCCACCAGGAAACCCATGTAACCCCTTAAAAAAAATCACATTTCCACAAATATTTAATAATTCTTTACAACAAATAACTTGACCTCAATTCTGTTGTCACAAATGCATATTAATCTAATCGCTTTGCATGTGAATATAAATTTCGGAAATTTCGACACAATTTAGTAGGTGGCAGCAAATAAACAATGCACTTACACATCAAGCATACAATGACTGATAATCTCAAAAATAATGTGATTTCGTGTGCACTCTTATTGTTTGAGTAACCCAGTTTTCGCACATAAGAGACTCACCAAAAAAACACCGAAGACATACCAATACATATGTTTGTATGTAATAGCAGTATATGTGCACGCTACTGTGAAGAATTTTCCTAAAAGTTTTATTAAAAAAATTGCTGATCTCATGAGCACGTTATGCAATTGAGTTTCTAAGAACAACACTTTCGCCCTGACAGCCATCAATTATTTTAATTTCCACATCAAATATGAGTGAAAATTGCGCATTTAGAAAATATTTTCTTCCAATTACAGTAATAACAATGTTATACATTTAACTGAGCGCATTAAATGTGCAACGATGAGGCAACAATTCGTGGGGGTTTTAAGTAATTCAGATAACAAATTAATTTATAATACTTTGTAGAATTTTTTTGTGATCATACAGCAATAAAAAAATGCAAAAAGTTTTTATTTTGTTTTTTTTTGTTGCTATCTTAATGGCGTAATACTTTTTTTTTTCATGATTCATAAACATCTGTTCAGCAAACAATTTTCATTGCAATTTCCTCTGAAATTTTCTTCTACTCGCTCTAAGATATTAGAAATGACCATATTGCTCTGTCGTCGCTTACTTCGTGAAAGGTCATCGCAAATACGTAATGGTAAGCAATTATTTCAAGTGCATTGAAAGGTTAAATTAGAGTAGTAATATATAGATATTGAATAGCTAATTGAAAGAGACCCGAGTATTTAACTTATTCGAATCCTTGGAATCAGTTGTTATATTCGCAAAGGAAATACTGTTGCCGAGCCGGGGCTTATAAATGTTATATATTATTAGAGCGGTATAAATATGTATATAATATATATATAGATATTGAATAGCTAATAGAAAGAGATCCGAGTAGTACATTTAGCTTGTTCGAATTCTTGTAATTCAAACCATTGAAAAAACCACATGCAGGATTACTGTTAACGAGATGGGGCTTATACAAGTTAAGAAAGGCGCGCCATATTGAAACGATAGTCTGGATGTAAGACCACCTTTTTTTCAACGACCGTGGTTTGATTGAAAGTGAAAATAAGTAGTACCACTTAGTCAAAGAAGACAATAAATTCCATTTTTTCATTTGACTACTTATATGGGAGTCAAATAAGAGGTTGGTGATAGCATAGACTCACCATTTAAAAGATGATATAAGAAATATATATAAAATCCAGAGAAATGTTTTTGATAGTCACATTTCAACCAGCGTGTTGTTCGTTTAAAGACCGTCACGTTTTTGTTTAAATCTAACCACATATTTAAATTAACCCATATACTATACCGTCATACTAGTAACCGTCGTTTAAATCAAATGAATTGAAACAACAACTAAGTACTTACATTTTCTTGTTTCTATTTCTTGTTGTATTTCTCATTATGTTTATAACTATATGTTTAAGGTTGCATACAATTGTATTCAAGGTTAGAGCACTTCAAGTCAATGCTATTTTCTTAAGCCTTGAACCTTTTTTCTAAGCTGTTGCTGAAGTACTTCCGCGACTCACAAGGTATAAAAGCTTGCGCAATAGCGAATAAAATTCATCATTTAAGACTAAACGAAAAATCAGAACATTCGAACAAATAAATATACTAAACTTTGATGCGGCTTAGGCTTTCAGCAAGCGCTTTATATTTCATCAAAATAAATTTTTCAATTAAGTATTTGCTTTAAGTCCCTAAAAACAACGCTTCCAAAAAATGTTAAAGTTATTTCCGAAATAGCTGCATTTTTAAAATACTTTACCACTAGTCATTGATAAGTAAAAAACAGGATGAAAATTATATATTTGTTGCCTTGTTTTGATGACAGCAGGGTTGTTTTGGAGTGTTGCGTGAATTCCAAGCATTTTCAGGAAATGTCGGTATGTTTTACACACCAGCAGCATATTTACGCGCAGCATTATCAATTCTTAAATCATCTTCCATATAACAATTACACATTTGTAGTTATGTGCTTTTTGCAGAAATTACGGTGTGTACACATGTGCCGCGATTAGTTCATTGCAGCGCTCGTTGTTGCAGAGCAATCTCCTTGGTTTTTGTTAAAATTCTTGTATACTTATTTGCTACTCTTCGCTGAGCAGTTCTGCACAAAGTTAGCTCTCTGGTAATCGTTGCTAATGCGCAGACGCTATGCTGTTGTGTCAACTCTTCGTTGCTATTTTGCAATTTATGTATCTGTAATGGGAGTCTCAATTGCAAGATAGTGGAATTTTTTACAAATATTTACGAAATTAAAAAATAATATATTTATATTTATACACTTTTTTTTTACTCCTCGTAGTGCTTAAATCAAACATAGAACCTCAAATGTACTATACATTACTGTGGGTACAAAAAAAATTTTTTTTTTGTTCGCCTGGTACTCTAGAAAATAGGTTCTTAGATACTTCCAAAAAAGTCCCTCCAAGTATGAGTTCTTAATTGTAACGAGAAGGCACCTTACTGTTTTATATATATTTTTTTCTAATTAGATAAAAAACCCTATTTTTTAGAGTACGAACCGAAAAACCAATATTCGTTTTTTTTTACCCTCCCTAATATACATATAAAATTTTTTTGATATTCTCGTATTTCTGTGGTAATATAAACAGAGATCTTCATTTCATATTTCATCATCAGATCAGAAATTTAGGATTTTTAGTTCAAAACTTTTACAACTAAAATATATTTCTTACATAAAATTTTTGTTTAAAGATGCAAAGCTCTTTCATTGCTCAATTCGAACGCCACTGTAATTCCTATAGACTTCAAATTATTTAAAATTAAGTTCTATATATCCAAAAGTCAAACTATGATTTCTATAAACACCAAATGGAGCTACTTTATTGCTGCCATCGAAATGCCCGGGGAGCTCAACCTAAAGTTGCTTATGATATTGCTGGGTTATACACCAAACATGCTACATAAATTGAGCGTCTGCAATTCAAAAGCAAAGTGTATATAGAGAAACAAGCTATCACAGAAAAATCATACAATATGGCACAGAAGCAAGCAGGCAAGCGTCTACTTCCTCAAGGCGCTTGTAAAACCCAGAGAACCATATAAAACAATACCACCAACAACGGCACCCACAACCCCTGCGTTCATCAGCGTGGTGGGAAGGCTATGGTAGAGCGTTTGTGCAGCTCACCAAGCCATCAGTGACTCTCAAGCAAAAAAACGAAAATCGCACAGCTCAGCTCTCAGCACTGCTTGTCACATGGCTATGAGTGTTGTGACAATGTTGTTGTAATGACATGCGCTATCTTAAACTGACCTGGCCTGGTCGGTCAGTTTTCTAAGTTGGCTAGCTGGTTCACAAGAGACACTACACAAGCTGGTGCCATCCATGCCATCCAATGAAACAACATACTTAAATGCCGTTAGTATCACTGTATGTATCTGTGCATTGTTTAGTGTTCGAGCTCTCGTAATTACAAATGGCAAGTGAATCAAAGCGCTTGCTAATTTCATGTATGTATATATGCAGCTAAGCTAGCACACTGCACCCTCCCAAAAACAATTTGGCATGCAAAATAGTCGAAACGAGACTAGTCGCCGTCTCATGGCCGCAGTCAGCGATGTTGTGGAAGTCGTGCGTCTCAGTGTTCCTCAATGAAAACGCTTTTTCAGTGAGTAGCCATTTTGGCTGCACAAAAACACGCCAGAACGAAACAAACCAACAAATGAGACGAACAGCCAGCGAGAGTAGCATTATATATTGTACAGCAGAGCGGTGGCGCATGGGAAAAAAGAAAATTTTTGTGACAGCGCACGGAAAAGTGGCAGCACTGCAAAGCGTATTCTTCTTTGGCCACCACTACGACTCTCAACCTCTACGCTGAGAAGCTACGCTCGTCGCTCGGCCTGTCAATATACACTTTGGCTTCATACTATCCACCAACAAGCAACCAAAATACACAAATTTATTAATATTAGAAGCAAAGTTTTGCAAGTTAAATATATATAAAAAAAATAATAATAATATATAAATTGTAAAAAAGTAAAAGATATTCAATTTAATTTATATACAAAAGAAAATACCGCGCTTTTTTCTCGTATACTACGCATAAAAAGAAGAAACACCACTGCAATCAATAAAATACGCAAAACTTCAGGAAGCAAATACAAATTACGAAATATTCGTCTGTAAACGTGTAAAATAAAAGCAGTGTATATATACGGCATTGAAAACAGCAAAGAAATAGCTACAAATAAAAAATTGTGTAGAAAATTATAGTGCTGCGTAAAAAAAAAGAAAGGCAGCGAAATATTCATAAAAGCAATAAAAGTTTTAAAATCCGAAAAAAACGCAGAAAATACACACGAACGCACGAAATAAGAAATCAAACGACGAGCGAGTTGAAAAAAGATAATAAAAAAAGCAAATGCGAAACAAAAATCAGAGTACAAAAAAAAAAAATAAAAAACCAGCAAATATTTTGTTGCTAAGCGAGCAGTAAATGTAAAAGTTGTAAATATTGCAAACTGCAATAAAAAGGTAAATGTTGAAAAAGTAACACGAAAGGCGATGTAAAACAAAAAAAAAATTGAGTTATAATATAAAAAATATATTAAAAAGCTGTTTTCAGAAGAGATGTAAGTGTAAAAAGTCAACAAAAATTAATTTTCGAGTTTAAAAATATTTTGTATAGCTAATAAAAAAAGGTAAAAAAACGGGCACACCAAAGTACTTATAAAAAAAAAAGAAACAAAAACAAAAAAAAAATAAAAACAAAAAAAAATATAATAAAATTTTAAGCAGCGAAAGTGTTAGAAACACCTAGAAAACACACAATATTTTTTTTTTCTTAATAAAACAGCAAAGTAAACTACTAGGTGGGCGGAAAATTGTACGCCACATAAAAATTAATGCCAACATCAATTGGTCGTAAAAGTGTGCCACAAATAAAGCGCAACACACACAAGAGCAAACCCCAATTAAGTGGAAATAATTTAGCAATTCATGGTAATACCACCAAATTCAAGAATTTTACGAAGCGCATACACCCACTAGTTTATTGTGCTACCAACCAATCCGCCACTGCTGATGCCAAAGGAAAGTCACGCTATAAAATCTAAACTAACAGTACGCATTTAAAGCGCACACAAAACAAGAAAGAAGCGCCTACGCACTACCCTAAGCTGACAGCAAATTTACTTCGTTTACTTCTCGTACAACCAACACAACCAAATTTGTTTTTATTTTAGGTCTACGTAGTTGTGACTGTGTAGCACCCTGTGTTTTTTTTAATGTCATACTTGCCATACTTGCCATACTTGCCGACAGCTCTGTCATTGTTCACGCTACTACATTACCGAGCACAAAGATTCATTGCTGTAGTCCTTACAAACCGCCCAAGCGTCCAACCAATCAAGCCAACCGTTTAGTGCCTCCAAAAAAATAAAACTCAAAGATCGCAGTTAACTAACTGTTTGTTAGTGCAACATATTTGCTGTCGCAGCTCGTTCTATCTATCGATAGCAGCAACTTAAAATTATTTCGTCACGAGCTTTCTCATTCCGCCAACATATTTCGTTGCTTAACATCACCTATAATACTACGACGCAACACCGAAATTCTTTGGTTTTATCACAAATTTTATTGAATTCTCGAATTTCGTCTACGCGCGATACTTCGTTTATTTTTACGACGTCTAGATCTTCTGCTGTTGCCAATAAAACAAAAACAACATTTATGGAAAACAAAAGCAACTTAGAAATTGCATTCAATAACGGGAATATTTTTATAAAAAGGTAATGTAATTTGAAAGTATGCTTTCTTATTTGAACAAAATTGATTTTCGTTCCGTATTTTTGTGTTTTAACCAAAATATTTAAGGGGTTATTCTAGTCAAGCGGGCCGAATGCTCAAATAATTAATAAGAAATTTTATTATAAAGATATTTATTGCTATACAAAATTTTTAACATAAAATGGCAGCTGCTCAACAGTAGAAATCGTTGCTATACTAACTTTTAAAATTTATCAATTTTTTTTATAATATTACAAATTTAAAATTTTTAGTTTTTGTTGCTTCAAACAATAGTGTGATATTTAAATAATACTTGTACTGATACCAAAACTCGACTGATTAGAACTTAAGGGGTTACATGGGTTTCGTCGAGCAAAAAACGCCCAATTTTCTAACTTTTTTTTCATAAAAAAAAAATTAAATATTTTATTCACACTTTTTATTATTCCGAAGATACATATTTGATAATGATTTTGTGAAATTTTCAAATGAAAATATTTAAAACTCGGTCATTACGACGTCATTTCCGGCAGTCCCTCCAAAAAAAGGACAGGATCATCAAAAGTAAAAAGAAAAAAAACGGGTTTGAATTAAGACCATTAACTCGTTATTGGGATGAGAATAAAGTGAAAATTGTATTTTTGGCAGACGTGTTTACAAAAACATGCAAATTTTGGTAAAAATTTGTCGACGTTTTTTTTAAATAGTTGTACTCCGCGGCAAGACCTTGTAATTCAAAGGCTTGTGTAAAATTTCATTAAGATCGTTTGAAACGGGTTTAAAGTTTTAAGTGACTTAATATGACAATATTCTAGAGATGTTATAGATTATAAGACAATAAATTTTTTTTTGGTTTTTGAAGCGGGGAAACCCATGTAACCCCTTAAGATATCGCGAGGACCGCAGCGAAAAAATTACTTTCGAAGAAAACACGTTAAAGGCCCTACATTAACGCTCAACCCGATCACGGATACAACTTTGAAAATAATTCGATTTTTCAAAAAACCTTCGAGGGCGATATTTTTGAATAACTAAACTTCGGAAATATGAAAAAAATATTTCAATATTCTTAAACTAGAATACCCCCTTAAAATCAAATGAACGCAATAGAACTAGTTAGCCTAGAATTAAGTGAATTAAATTGTGTCCCTGCGTACTCCTGCCTGTTAGACGTTGTTATAAATCCAGTTCTTAAGGGCAAAGACTGCAAACTCTTCTTTATTTTTCACATATCATACTGTTATACTCGTATATGTATATATTTTTGGTCGAGGTGTCTTTCAGAACTGATTTGTTTTATATGTAGATATATTGTGTTGCATGGAAAATAAGTTCTGTTATGAAATTCTTTGCATTCAAATTCAGTATATTATATTTTCTACATACATACATATGTACATGATTTTTCTTTAACTGTTTTTTTTTAGAATTTTAATAGTTTCATTGAAAGTTATTATATAAAATTTTTAGTTAATAACTATATGAAACAAAAATTAGGATTTATGTACCGCTTTGCATTTATTGTAACATAAAAATATAAAAGTGACTATTATTTTGTAAATATTTGCTACAAAAGACTAGTTTTAGTGGTTATGAAAAGCGGAAAAATCAACTTCAAGGTGTTATAAGCCTACGATGAACCCTATTTTCTCGACCAGTGACAAAAAAATAAAAATTTCTTTGCAAAATTAAGACTAGTCCGTAAAACAGAACCAAAATATGATAACACCCTTTACCTGATACATAGATACATATATTCCCATAGTGCCTCGAAGGAACATAGTTTTACCTTGTAGTTAATAGTAGTCAGAACATAAATTATACTGAAAAGGTGACAACCCTCATATATAATGTTATACACAAACGAACTCTCAAAGCACTATATTTAAACAATGTTTATACATTTTTTCCGAACACAAAAACAATTTTGCTAAATACTTATTTCCTACTCTTCAAATACCTGCTACACACAAAAATGTAAATTAAGCCAACACACACACACACAACAGATACGAAACCATACGTCATTGTTTGGCGTAACATTGCTGCGGGCACTTGCCAAAAATAGTTTATGCTAAAGCGAACTTTTGTGTAAGCATGCCACATTTTTGATACCCGAAACTGCGTGTTCAAACGCAGCAAAAAAAAAACAAAGCATCTTTTGTCACGCAAATCGCGCATTGCCAACAATAAAGGTTAAAGTTTGAGTATAAAGCGAAAATTCTAAAGAAAGTAAGGCGCACAAAATACGAAACATATTACGCTGAGTCGCGGCTTTAGAACAAAAACGCTTGGCGTACATTTGACGAGTTCATACATTGTTAGCTTGATAGTTGAAAGCCTAAACCAACGACTGACACGGCGTATGATAAACCTTTGTATGCTTGCACTACAATACTGTGATGACGTCATTTATTTGCATATGTATATATGTAAAAGTTCCAAATAAATATATTCTTCAACTACTAAGTAATGTGTATGAAAAATCTCACTATTACATATTTCAACAATCATTCGCCGACAGCCAACGTTTCTTCCTTTAATGCACGCACCACACTTTCTTCCACTATTACTTATTTCTTATTTATTCCTAACTTTGCAACCACATGAATATTGACCCACTTATAAACAGTATTACTTACAAATGTTGTATCAAAACGCATACACTTTGCATACTTGCTAAGTGTTTTTTTTTCGCTTGACTGTACTAAAACCAAGCAGTTAAAACTTAACCAAGTTTCTTTTCAGTTAGCTTTTACGTCTCAAACTCTTTAAAAGTTTCTAAGCTCTTTGTAAACGTGCTTTTTGATGTTTTCGGTTTTTGTTTTAGTGACAACATGTTTTTTTTTCTCTGCATAACTGTAATGTGTACTCGAAATTCTGCCATAAATGGGGGAGAACGTACATACATTCTCCTGACAGTGAGGAGTAACAACTCACTTTGATTGTCGTCAAGTAGCTACTTATCTCGTCAACAGCTATGATATCGTATACTGATGGCGCTGACGGAAATGAGCTGCTACACATGTAACCCCTGAGTTTTCTCGAGCAAAAGGCCTCTTTATAAAATATATATTTTTTTTTATATAAAAATTAAATATTTTACTTAAACTTTGTATTATTCCAAAAATACATATTTCGCAAATAAATAAAAAACCTTCGCTCACGACCTCGAAGACTGTATGAAATTTCATTACGATAGACCTTTGAAATTCTAAGTGACTATATAGTTGACCTCGAGCGCGCAACTCTTCAAGGCTGTATCTCCAAAACTATTACTCGCATCAACTCGAGCATTTAGCACTATAATCTAGATATGTTATATAATTAAATAAGACAATAAAAAAAACGATTTTTGTAGTTCTGCAACCCATGTAATCCCTTAAAAGGCTGTAACTCAAAAACTTTTTGAGATATCGATTTAAAATTTTTGTATGATATTTTTAAAGTCCAAAAATTTTCTTTTTTTAAAATCTACGGATTTTACCCTCTAAGCAAAAAAAAAATCTTTTTCGCTCCACCCTAATATATACTTGTATGATACATACATATATTAAAGTGTCATCAATGCATTGTTTATACAAAAGAAATTAAATTTTTTGGTTTTGTTGAAGTAAAAAAACTCTTTCCCGACTGTGAGTGAGTGTTTGATGAAGCGTTACATTTATGATGTCAAAGCTAATAGCAATTAATTGAAGTGATCTAATCTCCAAATATTTTTAATTGAACGAAATCCGTTAGATTAATAATGCCGATTACGTCGATACCATTTTCTAATTATGTCATCGAAAGATACACTTATTATACTCTCATTAGCTTTAGCTGTAAATGAGCCAGAAATCCGTTGTATGCCATATCTGTGCGTACATATGTACATACCTATCTAGATAGGTAAAAAAATGTATTATCTAAAATCAAATATGGGTAGGATCAGCATACTTTTCAATCCAACCCATAAAGTTCCGTTAAACTAAATCATAATTTTTCCTTTGAATTGAAGGTTTCATTTAGCATAGTGAGAATGAACCAATTTAATTCCAGTATGTATCGTTTTGTTTCATAGCTTATTGCGATTTTGAAGGTTATAATGCCACTTTTATAGAAACCCTCGATCAAGCTGCTCTTGAGGCGAATTTTTTACGAGCAAAATCATTGTTATCTTCTGACGCTCCAATAGTTGACAGTACAGGTCCGTATTAAGTATTTTTACAGTAAAGGAGACGCTCATAGTACTTGAATTCCAAGGTCCCGTAGCCTCTGTTGAATCACTATCGATGTGTGTGTGGCTTGGCGCTGTCATAATGAAAAAACAATTTCTATTCTATTGGCTAAAGCTGGTCACTTTTGGGCGATTGCTTCCTTCACGCAGTGCAATTGTTGACAGTACAGGCCGGTATTAAGAATTTTAGTCGTAGAGGAGCAGCCCACCAAAGACAGAGCAAAACCTTACTGACCATTTCAGTCCCTACTGCTCTGAAGCTATTGCCAGCAAGTTTTCTTTTTATGTCCACAATCCAATTGGCGTCGAGTTACGAGTCTAAAGATTCACAGAAAATGAATTTTCAAAATATTTACGATCGAATATATGCTGTTGCTCCAAATACGTGATACTTAATGAAAATCTATTTCGCATTCCACCAGAGGCTAAATGGTTGAAACGGACGCGGCATATATATACATTTATATGTACATTACATACATATTATAGTTGGCTGGTGTCTATTACAAAAACAATAACAGCTGTTGTTTCCCACTGTTAATGCAATAAAGACACTGTCACACTGTTGGTCGACGCCATAGACGTCCGCGCCATAATATTTTGGCGCCCAAAAACTCAAGCAATACGTGACAGGCATTTGGAAAATCATTTTCCCTCAGCAATTTACCGATAACGAGCGCACTTGCTGTACTCCTGAGAATATGGCAACGGTAGTAGTCGAAAATGCGAGTATTTTACTTGCGGTGGGAAACTTTAAGCCAACACGTGGGTGGTATTGCTGTG